CAGAAAAATTTTTAGTGTGGGCATATGGATGATAAACAAGTAAAATAGATTAAGAAGGTAATTTCAGAGTATGGCGAGTGCTGTGAAGGGAATGAACAAGGCATGCAGTAGTGTCTGCAGATAGCGAGGGAGAGCAGGGCAGGCCTCTTGGAGGAGAGATCAAATAGAGATCTGCAGAATGAGAAGAGAAACCATCTCATGCTCCATGGGCAAGAATTCCTGGAAGAGGGAATAGCATTTGCAAAGGCTTACAGCTGGGAAAAAAATGGAGGCCAGTGTGGTTAGTGAGTAATGGGGAGAGTGGTCTAGGATACCGCTGGAGAAGAGGGCGGGAGCTACTTCATGCAGGATCCTGTGCATAAGATACAGAGTTCGGATTTATTTGAAGTTCAACAGGGGAATGAAATGATGGGAGTCCTATTTAACAGGTCACCCCCTAACTGCTGTGTAAAGAATATCTAATTAGGAGGCTGTTCTATGAATATAGACAGATAGCTAGATAGATACCACTAAGCTTTTTGGCTTGAACAGCAGGGTGGATGGTGGTGCCATCTGCTGAAAAGCAGAAGACTTGAGGAAGAATAGGTTTAGGCAGACTCAAGAGTTCCCATGCTGGAAAGATGACTTGGGTGCTTAGAGCACTTCTAAGGGGATATGTTCGGGGGTAATTGCACAAATGAGTCTGAAACTCGGGAACAAAGAAGTCTGGGCTGGAAACAGAAAATTGTGAATCACCAACAAATGCATGGTAATTAAAATCAAGGACTGGCTGATACTATTATGAAAGAGAGAGATAGTCTGGGACTAATCCCTAAAGAACCCCAACATTCATTCATTTAGCAAACATTCATTCAATGACTTTGTGTGAGGCCTGTGTAGGGTCTGTGATCCGGTGATAAATAAGGCACCGGCCCAGCTCTCAAGCAGCTTAGCCTAACCGAGGAGCTAGAGTTGACCAAGCTTTTGGGGGGCCTGAGGTTAATTAAGAAAAAGAATGTAAATTCACTGCTACAAAATTAGGTGTCAGGCTTGGAAAAGCATTTGTGTAGGAGGAGATAGGCCCTGGAGCTTAAGCTTCATCAGCTCCATGGTAAATCTTCCTCGGCGCGGAAGACAGACAAGTAAAGCCAATAGCTACAACAGCAGGTGTAATGATGTAGGTAAGTGCAGAAGGATTTGGTACTGCAGAGTGGACAACTCAACAGATCAGAGGGGCAGGAAAAGAAAGCTTCCTGGGGGAGCTAGGATACTTAGCTAAATCTTACAGGCCAAGCAGGACTTCACTGACTGAAGAGGGGGTGGAGAGTCTCGTAGGCATCTGCAAAGGCCAGAGGAATGAGAGAATGTGAAGAGACTGTAGCTGTGCTGTTCAATATGGTGGCCACTAGCTACGTACAGCCATTGAGCACTTGAAGTGTGGCTAGTCCGTTTTGAGATGTGCTGTAAGAATAAAATATACGCTGGGTTTCAAAGGCTTAGTATGAAAAAAAGGATGTAAAATACCACAATATTTTTTATATTAATAACATGTTGAAATTATATTTTTGGCACATTGGGTATAAGTAAATTATTAAAATTAACTTCACATGTTTCTTTTACTTTTTCAAAAATATGGCTAGTAAAAAATTAAAATTATGTCTGTGGCTTGCATTCTATTTCTGTTGGACAGCAGTGGACTTCAAGTAAGCAGGAGGCTGGTGTGTGCTCAGTTAAGGGGTCTGGACTCAGTTAAGGGGACAGGGGCTCCCAGGGTGTGGGGGAGGGACATCATGTGCTTTGCTCAGAAACTCACTCTGGCTGAGAGGTGGAGAATGAAGCAACCAGAAGAGAAACAGATCGGGAGTCAGTAGGTGTTGCGGGACTGCAGGCAGGAGAGTGGAGAGACGAGGCCAAATTTTGAGAACTTTGAAGAGCTAGATCTGCTGGCTAACTGGGTGTGGGCTTTGAGGGAAAAGGAGGAATTTGTGTAGACTTCTAGGTTTCCAGCACAGACAAATGGAGCGGATCAGGGTGCGAGACCTCACTCGGTGAAGGGCTAAAGTGAAGAGTGTCCTGCTTGAATATAATCTGGGTAAAGGCAGGACTCAGACCAGGGATTCAGTAAATATTTGTTGAATGAATTTTTTACAAAAATGTCACAGACTAAAATGTGTGCTTCAGGAAATGTGGGATGGATGGTCTAGAAGAGGACTTGCTGCATGAGTGAGGAATATGTTATAAATTGGAGGTCAGGCGGGCAAGCCCCCAGGGCCTGCCACAGCTTGCCAGCCCAGGTCCCCAAGAAGAGCTGTGAGGGTCCCCTTGGTCAGCCTCAGCAAGAGGCATCACAGATGTTAGGCCGGCATGATGACATCCTCTTCTGTTATCTCAGCCACTTTGCTAATTTTTATGAGGAAAAGGAGAAGGTGGGGGTGATTAGGTGAAGAAAGAGGAAGGAGAATGGGGTAATATGAGGGGTGAATGTGCTTGTGAAAAGGGCATATCCAGAAAGCACCTAATTGCCAGCACTGCTGCCCATAAATGGGCCCATCAACCACACCCAAATGTAGACAAACATTCATGTCCATTTGTAATACTATGAGCGTTTTCTATTTCATAGAGTTAGCTGTATCAAATAAGAAAATAGCCGGGCGCGGTGGCTCACGCCTGTAATCCTAGCACTCTGGGAGGCCGAGGCGGGCAGATTGCTTGAGGTCAGGAGTTCAAAACCAGCCTGAGCAAGAGTGAGACCCTGTCTCTACTATAAATAGAAAGAAATTAATTGGCCAACTAATATATATAGAAAAAATTAGCCGGGTATGGTGGCGCATGCCTGTAGTCCCAGCTACTTGGGAGGCTGAGGCAGGAGGATTGCGTGAGCCCAGGAGTTTGAGGTTGCTGTGAGCTAGGCTGATGCCATGGCACTCACTCTAGCCTAGGCAACAAAGCGAGACTCTGTCTCAAAAAAAAAAAAAAACAAAGAAAATAGATGTGAAAGACTTCAGAAAGTTGGAAGTGCATATTGTGGTTAGCAATGAACAATGAACTTGTAGGAAAGTATTTTGGCTTGAATAAATGTGGATGGCAGGGAGACCATCACGGGCAAAGATTAGTCTCTCTGTCCCTCTGTGGACAGAACCAGTCACCCAACATATAGCCTCACAGTTCTTGCCTCTGAAGAGAACTCATTGAGCAGGGTTGGACATTATAAATACTGAGACAGCCGAAGGGGATGCTATAGCCTCCTGTATCCCGGTAAACTTTAAAGTGTGTGATGAAAGAGTTGAGGGGGATTGGTTGAAAGGCATGTACCCCCTTCAGACTGGTTATTTCTGCTCTGTTTCATTCATTTATGTGTTCATTCATTCATTCAACAATGTGTATCCAGGTGTTCAAACCTCCTTCATCCTTCAAGACTCACTCACATTCTACCTGCAGGAAGTCCTCCTTGCCCATCCCAGCACAGCACCTTCACCTTTGCCTCTCATTTCAGCAGCCGCCTTCCGCTTTGTTATACATCCGTGTTATCATTGGCCTCAATTATTTAGGACACAGAATCCATGTCCTAAATATTTTTGTACCCCTAAAGCCACCAGCACAGCACCATATGAATAGCAGGTGCTCAGTAAATAAGAACCGAATGAACAAACTAGAGGGATGGATGGGTGGTCTTTGAGCAGGCACTATATTCTATATTTTTTGAGTGGAACAGGGAAGGGAATGTAGCAAGTTCAGTTCTGTCTCGGCCACAGAGGTTGGTGGGGTGAGGGAAGCAATGGGAAGGTAAAGACGACTGATTACTGGGAGCAGCCATCAGTGACCCTGCTTCCTGAAGACAGCACAGAGGCCAGTGCCATCCTTAAGGAGTATCTACTCATTCAGCTCACTTTGACTGAGCACCCACTGTGTACAAGCCACTATGCCACAGGTTAGGGAAAAAGAGATGACTATAAGTTCATTGCAGGGCAAAATGTGAAGTGTAGCTCTGTAGACAACTCATGTATGTGAAAAGTTAAACAATGCCTTTTTTTTTTTTAAGTTCAAATGGTATTACAAGACTGTAAATGCAAAGTGGCAAGTTAGTAATACAGTAAATACTAGGAGCGTAACGCTTCTTCATCTTGGATCGTATGGGGCTGCCCCCACAGCTTTCCCAGGATGCCTGTGCTTATCTGATCACACAGCCGATTTTAGCATCACAAAATATGCTCACTGTTGCTATACAGCTTTTGAGGAAAGAGGTAGTGAGCTGGAATGAGGTGTGGAGGTGGGGGTGGAAGGAAAGCTTCATACAAGAAGCTTCACTGTGAGTTTTATGAGAAACAGATAGGATTTGGATAGGCAGAGAGGAATGGAGAAGGCATTTTAGACAGGGGGAAAAGGCATGAACAAGCAATAGTAGTTAGAGTAGATTAGGTGTATTTAGAGGACAGTTCATTCATTCAATTAATAAATATTTATTGAATCCTTGCTAAGTGCTGGGCAGTGTTCTCATGCTGGCCACAGAGTGAATAAAATAGTTTGCCTTCAAGATGCTAGTGGGGCAGTTTACTTGTATGCTTATTAACATACAAATAACATACACATAAATTGGGGAAAGTGCCATGAAGGAAAAGAACAGGAGTCTACAAAAGAGAATTATACTTAGCTTCCCAGGGAAAGGTGACATTGGACCTGGAGCCTGAGGAGGGACAGTGCATTACAGACAGGGAGGAGCCCTGTGACGAGGATTTCGAGGTGGGTGAAGAAGATGGCACATTCGAGAGACTGAGAGAACAGTTAGCGTTACTGGACTGTAGCGAGTGCAAGCATGCGGCTGCGATTACTTGTACGCAGGCTGGAGCCAGACTGTAGAAAGTCAGACTGGGGGTTTGGACATGTTAAAACATTTTCTGAGAACAGGTTATGTCGGAGTATGTTTCTGTGTTCCAACCCGAGGGCTTCCCCAGAGAGAGAGGGTAGTGGGAAGAAAGTGTGAGGGTCTCTCCATGACATCTCGTGACTCCTGTCCCTGTTTGCAGCCAGGCGATGGGGCCGTTGCGGTGGATGAGCCACAGGATAACAAGAAGCTGAAGGTGGGTGCCGTACGGAGTTTGCCCAGTGGGGACACTGCAGGTCTCAGCGCATGGCCACAGACCCAGGGCACTTGGCCTTGCTGCTGGGGATCCTGTCTGTGCTCAGGCCGTGGGAGCTCCTGGGAGTTAGGTGAGTCAGGGAAGGAGGGGGCCGCTTTGCCAGAGGAACTCTCACCTCCAGGTGGCCTTTGAGGAGGTGCTGGTTTGGGAGCTAAGTCTAGAATGTTACAGTTTGCTCTGCCACTAGCTTGCTGTGTGACCTTGGCCTTCATATTCTGCATCTGTAAAATGATGGGACTAAATGAATTCAAGTCCTAGTTTCTAGCCCAGCATTGTATGAGTGTTTGATATAAAGGCCTAATGTGGCTTTGGGATGCCCCAGAACTAAGAGAAAGTTAGGAGGGGCACTGGAGGGGGAGGGAGGTCTGAGGTTTCTGAAAAACTGTCTTAGCTGTCTCTATCCTCTGGGGTGGCCCCATCCAAGGGAAATCTGTAGACCTGTTGTGAAGTACTGTCACCACAGCCACTAGATGGCAGAAGAGTTCAGAGGGATGAAGGGGTGGCAGTGGGGAAGGGAGTGCGGAAAGGAGAAAGGAAGAGGGAGCGAGAAGGATTGAGCAAGTGTTGAAGTCTTTGGATGTTCCGTTGTAAATTAGATGCTATTTCTATGTGTGGCACTGTAAATAAATGTGTGTCACATCTGTGTCCGCACAATACAGGTGTGTGTGTGTGTGCCTGTGGATAGAACAGAAACTGAACTGAGAATCAGAAGAGCTGGGTACTAGTCTGACTCTTTCACTTACTCCCCACATGACCCTGGATCAGCCAGCTAGCGTCTTTAGTTTTCATTCCCTTTTCTGTAGATGGGGGTCGTAGCCTTGCTTGTCATGGGGAGTGGGGCCGGGATAAAACATGAGAATGCTCTTCGTGTGGGGGCTGCACCCATGTGCAGTGGGTCTTTCTGTGTGGCGTGTGGGCAAGGGTGTGTTTCTAGGAGGGTGCACGTGCAGGGACGTGCAAGCCCTTGGCAACGTGGTTGCCTTAACACAGGAGGTCTGCTCCCTGTCCAGACGCTGGAGAATTACTCAGTGCACAGAATGAGCCAGTCACCCAAGAGTTGAGGGTGACTGGAGGGGAAGGAAGAGGGGAGGTCAGGATAAAGCATCTGTGCTCTCTCCCTGATCTCTGTGGGAAGGGGGGAAGGTTAGTGAGGCCCTCGTGTGGCTCCTCCCCTGCCTCGGGCAGGGGCCCACTGAGGGCCGTGGCTCTCCTCTTGCTCAGCTCCCGTCCTTGCTGACCCGAGGGAGCAGCTCGGCCTCTCTGCACAACAGCACCATCCGCAGCACCATCTACCAGCTCATGCTCCACAGCCTGGACCCCCTGGGGGAAGGTAAGCGAGGCCTTCCCAGACCTGTGCAGTCTGCTCCATGCACTCCTTCCCTCTTGCAGCTGGAGAAGAACTGAGGCCTGGAAATCTGCGAGGCAGTGGGAATGGGGTGGAAAGAGAGCTAGCAGAGGACAGAGTGGACAGTAGAAGTCAGGCAGTCTGGGAGAGAGGGTGGAGACAAAGACAGGGGACTCACCAAGAGAGGGCCCCAAGGAACTCGGAAGGCTAAGGTCCTTAGGTATCCACATTCCTCTACTTCCCCGCCTCAGCGTCCCTCCCTATAAATGAGGGGGTTCACCTGAAGCTAGACTGTGAGTGCCATTGCTCTGCACGGGTCTGTGTTGGGGCTGCCTTTGATGATTTCCCTGCCAAGCCCACTGCCCAGGAGTTGCCCCCAGTGCCCACACACAGTTTCCCACCAGGCAGCTTGGCGCGGGCTGACTGGCCAGGGCTGCTTCTGGGGGCATCTCTTGTAGGGCTGCACAGCCAGAGCTCTGAGTGGCATTTTCCTTTGCTTTGTGTTTAGCTCTGGAGTCTTGGGAAGCCTGCTCACCCCTCCCCCAGCCAGGAATCCCAACGACACCCTGGGCGCTGCCAGCATCACTTCTGGGGGAGGGGAGGGTAGAAGGAGGGTCCGAAGTACAATGGCAGCTGGACATTTTTTAAAGGACGATAGAAATTGACTCATAGGAGGGACAGATAATAGAGTTATTGTATATCAACTTTAGCATGTTACATGATTAATTTACTCAAGTAATTAAAAAATAAGACAAGGGCTCTGACTGCAGTTGGGAAGGAGGGCTGAAGACTGAGCTGAACATGACACCACAGAATGACCCCCTGAGCCCCAGGGAGCACCCTGACTGACTTTTGGGCTTAGGGACAAATTTGGGGGGCTCAGAATTTTCCTCAGGCCCTGAAGTATCCTTTTCAGACAGAACATTGGGTTGTACTGTGAAAATCACCATCAAAGACAAGTGATGAAACTTTTCTTAGAAATTCCTCAAGGCGAGCCTGAGCAGAGGCTCTCGCTGTGAGAGAGGCCACCCCCAAGCGTCAGCTCCAGAACAGTACCTCTGGGGTCCCCGGAATGGAATCTGCAGCACCTGGAAGCCTCTGGGTGACAAGTGCTGGGTGTGCACCTGCCCTGGGCCCAGTGAAGAAAGCTGTGCCTCTGGGTCAGGATTGGCCACTCCCAGGGGAATCATGGACTCCAGTAAAGCCTTGAAGATAAAGACCTTCTCTTGAATGGGACTGCAGGGCCCCCGCCTGGGCCACTTCATGACCAACAGCCGCCGCCGCCAGCTGGCCTACTTGCCCTAACAGGATTATGTGATGTCCAGACTGGGCCGAGGTCAGAGGAGATTGATGCTAACAAGATGATCCGGCCACACTGGGAGGGGACAGGCCATGTGAGGAAACAAGCACTCCAGAGCCAGCGACTGCCATCCAGGGAAGACAAGTGTGCGTGGTACACTGTCTCTGGGTGAGGTGGGGCGTGGAATGGCTCTCATGGTGACGTGCAGAGCGCTCTGGGATGCCATCCTGCACAGAGAGCCCGACCCGGATTCTACACCCCGAGGCTCCATCCAGGAGGGGCTGGGACCCCACCGGGCTGCCACGAGGGCCTTTGTTCCCAAGGCTTTCCAGATAAATATTTGTGTTTCCATACGCTGTTTCCAGATGGCCATCCAGATGTTTCCACCCTTCGCAGGTCTTCCAGCTCTTTCCACAGAGCCGACTGGTGGAAGAGACGTTTCCTGTGGTGTGACCTCTCGCCTTTCCTGAGAAGGGCTCTTCCTCTGCAGGGTGCCACGCCTCTTCTGGTGGCTTCACCGGGACATGTGTGAAGGGGTTGGGGGAGACCTTGCAGCTGACCTGCCTTCCTCGGTGACGTGGGAAATGAGAGGCTAGTGTGTGTGACAAGGGATGAGAAGGAAAGCAGGAAACTTGGTTTTTCTCGCCAGCCCCTCCAGCCCAGAGTCAGCAGGTGTTCTCAGCGCCGGAATGCAAGCCAAGGCAGCTGTCCTTTGGTGATAGCCACACGCTGCTCCACAGAAGACCGCGGTGCCTGGTTAGTGCAGAGGGGGTGCTGGGGTTGTCTGGACGAAGGGGGCAGTGGCGTCTGGCCTCCTGACATTTCAGTTCTGATGAGGACCTGCCGGGCAGGCCACCAGGACGCTTCGAGGGAACACACGTCACAGTGGTGGCTCTGCACAGGGAGCTTATTGCCAGAGCCACCTGCAGCTGAAGCAACTCTGAGAGTGGAGGAGACAGGTTGAGAGGAGGAAATTCCAGACCCTTTTATCTGTTTCCTGCCCATCCTCGACCCAAGAGGGGCCTCCACCTTTTCAGTTTCCTCTCGGTCTGTCTGTATTATGGACTAGAAGATCTCCAGGGTTCCTTCTAACTCAAACCCTCTGGTACGCTAGGCCTCATCCTTGCGGGGTGGCTTCCAACGTAGGACAGCTGCTCTCGACTACTCTTGGCAACTCGTCGTCATCATTGTCATCGTTGTTGTTATAGCTAAAACTAATCTAGTGCCAGGCACTGTTTTAAGTACATTCATGTATAAATTCATTTACTCTGTCAACAACCCTGGAAGATTTTACAGATGAAGAATCTGAGGTACAGAGAGGCTAAGGACTCACCCAGTTAGGTCCACAGCTATGGTGCAAGCGGCGGCACTGGGATTCAAACCCAGGTTATCAGGCTCCAGAATCCAAGCTAACATGGCAATCTGGGTGAAGCTAGCACTTTGCAGTAGTCAAAGCATTTTTATTTATTTTGTTTCATGGACCCTCACAACAGTACTCTGAGTATATTATGGTGTTGCCATTTTAGAGAGAAGATGTTGAGGCTTAGAGAGGGCACATAGGCTTCCCAAAGTCACCCAGTGCTCATGGGGCACAGCCAGCCTGGGATCTGTTATACTCCCATGGTACCACTCTATCATTCGTGCCATTGTCCTCACCCTCCCAGGATACACAACTGTGAGGAAGACCCTCATGAGTCCCTGCATCCTCTGTCCCTCCTCCCTCTTCCATCTTGAAATTACACACGTAGAACACTTTGCATGTTGCCTGGCTAATATTCACACATAGTCACATGGGAAGAGAGTGCCTCCCCATTTTTCTTGCCTGGAAATCAGGGCAGCACCATTCTGTACATGCTGTTCTGTGGGCCTCCAGCAAAGCATGTGCCCAAGGATCTGGAAGGAGGCCCTTCTTGGACCATGACTGTGTATGGTCATAAAGAATGTGGCCACCGGGCCTGGTGGCTTACATATGCAATCCCAGCACTTTGGGAGGGTGAGGTGGGAGAAGCACTTGAGCCCAGGAGTTGGAAGCTGCAGTGAGCTATGATCACATCACTGCACTCCAGCCTGGGTGACAGAGCAAGGCTCTGTCTCTAAAAAAAAAAAAAAGACAAAAATAAAAAAAAATTTTTTTTTGAAGAGAGATGTGGCCGAGAGCTCATTGATCAGCTATTTCCCCGTTCCTACTGGAAGGCTGGGAAGGCTGATGAACAAGGCCATCAGTATCCCCCTGGAGCTATAGCAAAGCTTCTAGCAGATTCATAGGAAGTAAGCTGCAAAGGACATTACAGGTAATATAGTTCAAGGATGGCAAAAATGTCTCCCTGCAATTATTTCTCCATTCCCTGCCCTTTGCAGACAGCACTGATCAATCATGGTACTTTCCTACCAAGTTCGGTTCAGAATCCTTCTCAATTCAGCACTTAAGCAACCATCTCTTGAGCTCCTAAAAGACATAAATCCTGTTTGTTGCTCCTGAGTCCAACCATGCCGTTTTACCAGAGAGGAAATGGGCTTTGAGAGGGGAAATGACTTGCCGTAGGCCACAGCCAGTTAGTGGTAATGTAGAGAACTTAAGACAAAAGTTAGGGCATTGGGTACCATGAACAGGTCTAGGAGGATCAGAATCCAGACACTGCACCCCTCCAGGCTAGCCTTTTCCCACCCGCTTCGGCTGCTCTGGCTGCTCAGCCGACATCTTAACTGCAAGGGCATGGCAGGGATGAAGTTGCGGTTCCCGATAAGATGTGTATCATTTTTCATTTGCAGCCCGACCCTCCAAGGACAAGGAGGAGGAGAGCTTGAATCAGGAAACCAGAGCCCAACCCCAGCCCAAAGCAGAAAGCAAAGCAGAAGGTGAGAGGGTGGCCAGACCAGTGGGTTTCTTCTGCCACTTCCCTCCCTGCTGGCAGGGGTGAGCCTGGCCTGGAGCAGCAGCCAGCGCAGGCTGCGGGCTGAGGCGCACCCCTTGGCCTCTCTGAGCCAGCCGGTTAGAGTGATGATCTGCTGCCGCCCACTCGCCACTTTACACCGACTCCTCCTGCCAGTGTGCTCTTTTGACATGGCTGCTGGCCTGAGAGTGTCGCTATGCAGCTTCCTCTCCGCTTTCCCCAGATGAGGTAGGCAAAGGAGGCCAGGCGGTTGTTGGATGATCACTTCATGTTTTGCTAAATCTCATCCCAAATGAGACTCTATTGGACTCTGTTTCTTTTCTTGTCACTTCTACACAAGAACAGTATTGCCAGTGACTGGTCTTAAACCAGCAATGCCAGCGAGGGAAGGCTGCCAGGGGTCTGGTGTTACAGAAGTCCAGTATCTGTGTGGCATCTAGGATCGTGGGAGTGGGACAGCTACTGCCACATGGGCTTTGCACAGCACACCAGGACTCCCTGATCCACCCAGCAACCCCTGGAGCGAGGTAGAGCAGCAGTCATTCTTCCTATTCTACAGACAAGGAAACTGAGGCTCAGAGAGGTCAAGTGACTTGCCCAAAGCCACACAGCCAAGAAGTGAGAGAGCCTTTACCTAAACCTAGCTCTCCAGACTTTCCACGTCTCTCTTCCCCTCAATCCTGTTCTAAGGCTTCATAGCTGCTGCCTCTGAAATAGCAGGGTCCTTTCCAAAGGGTCAGACCCTGAGTGCTGGCAGCTTTGCCCTCTCTCTGCTCCATTTGCCCAAGCTATTCACAGTGTCCTTGGCCACAGCGGCCAGGATGAAAATGCCTGTGAATACAGGGGTGCAAGGCTATCCGGCCACTTTCCAGCTGTCCTCTCATCTGCAGGTATCTTGGTGGACAGAGCAGTTACAGTTTGCCTTACATCATCTCACTTTTCCTACCAACAAGAAATTCCCCCCAATAAACCTTTTGGACCCCAAAGTCCAACAGCCCTGTAGCCACTCACACCAGTGTCTGTCAGCTTCCCTCAGAATCCAGTCCACTCCTCTGATCTAACCCATGTTTGTCCTTTAAAGAGGAGCCAACCGAGCTTCCTGCGGTCACGGTCACACCAGCCCCTGCTCCAGACGTCGAGGGAGATCAGGAGGAAGATCAGGCTGGTCAGGTAGGCACCCAGTCTCTGCACAGGTGAAGAGATTTGAGAGGCCCAGGGTGGGACTTGCTGGCCAAAAATACTTGAAATGCAGGTGGGAGGGTTTGCTGGTTAAAGGCATTTCCGGGTCAGGTACCTCAGCCTCGTCTGCAGGGCCTTCCGAGTCCTGATGCTGCTTTGTTTTTACAGCCTCTTCTTCCACCATGTTCCAGCCAAACTGGATTTCTTATCTCCAGGCCTTGGCTCACATGGTTTCCTCTTCCTAGAATGCTTTTGCCCCTCCATCTTCCTCATCTCACCTCTCCAGGCCCAGTGTAAATACCTCCGTTGCCATGTAGCTTCCTTCATCAACCCAAATCTGAATGCCATGGTACCCTGCACCTGTCTTGGTGCTCTTACCACTCTCTTCCCTATATTCTGAGCCTCGGTGTCCCTGCTAGGTGGTGAGGTTCCTGAAGGCAGGATCCCAGTCTGAGTAGCCTCTGTCTCCCCCACAGAGGGAAACAATGCCTGGTGTACAGCTGTGCTCAAGATAGGTTCAGTGACTAACAGGAAGTAAACATTCTGTCTGCCAGTTCCCTCCCTGTTTGTGTTTTCTGTTCCAGACCAGAAGCACTCTATCTCATTCTTAAGCCAGCAACTTTGGGTTCAGTGCCTAAGACATCTTCATGGTATCGTCAGTGTCCTGAGTAGGTCCATCACAGCCAGCTCAAGTAAAAGAGATTAAGCAGATACAGAGGTTTTCCCTGGAATCCCAGGGCAGGTAGTGAAGCTTGGTCTCACAAGGAGCTGGACCTAGGCCCGAGGAGGCATCTGGTGGACTTCTCACTCTGCGTCCTGCTCTCCCTTACGTCCTCTTTTCTGCTTGCAGCCTCCGTCACTCAGCCTGTCTTGGCAGCCTGGCTTCATGTGTTTCCTTATTAGCACGTGTGACCCCAAACCCCCACCTCAGTCCTCCAGTCCACAGGGGAACCAACCTGTCACTGTTCCAAGTCTTAGAGAATCTGTTCAACCCAGCTCATGGGTCAGGGACCCAGCTTGCATCCAATCAGCTGTGGCCAGCTGACTTGACTCCAGCATGGAAGAGGGAACCCATTTATCTGGGACTATGAGGGGTGACAGATACAGGCTGGGCATCTGCAGGCTGGGCAGATACTCTGATACCCACCGATTTAAATGACTTGTCATCTTCTCCAGGAAGCATTCTCTATCTGATGGGGGTGGAGGAGGGAGGGCAGGAATTATTTCAGACTAAAATATTCTTATTTTTCATTCCCAGTTCAAAGCATAGGCCTCACCAGATACTATTTGATTTCTTCATCAGGGGTTCTCAACTCTGGCTGCACATTAGGAAAATTTGGGGAAGTTTATAAAAAATGGCCCATCCCTACCCTCTTCCAATTAAGTCAGAATATCTGGGGTAGGTCTTTGGGCTTCAATGGTTTTAAAAGCCTCAAGGTGATTTTAATATGCAACAGAGTTAAGAATCACTGAACACTTTTTTGGGGTGGCCAGTATCATGACATTGGTTACAGACAACATATTTACACTCCATAAGCACACACAGCCCAGGTCATTTGCTCAAGGGACTGGACCAGCATGTTGTTACAGGTTAGTTGGGTAACCTATAACAAATAAAAGCCAGAATCAATGGTTTTATTTTTTTAAATTTTATTAAAAAATATTTTGGAGATGGGGTTTCACTATGTTGCCCAGGCTGGAGTGCAGTGGCTATTTACAATAGCACTACAACCTTGAACTCTGGGACTCAAGCAATCCTCCAGCCTCGGTCTCCCAAGTAGCTGAGACTACAGGTGCATATCACTGCGCCCAGTTATCAGTGGTTTTTAGAGTGCATGGAGATAGTCTATGGTTCCCAAACACTGGTCTACAGATGGATGTATTAGGCAGACTTATGAGCATGTTAAAGCACAGATTCCTGGCTTCCAATCTTAGAGATTCTAATTCAGTTGGTCCAGGTGGGGCCAGGAAATCTTGTATTTCTGAGCTCCTCGGGCTACCAGGTTTGGACGCCAGAGATCTCATTCAGCCCTGGCCCTTGTAAAGCAGGTAGCTTGGTGGACTGTCTATATTCAAATTCCACCATCATCACTTACAAACCATGTAGACCATGGGCAAGTTATTTATCTCCTTTTTACTCTATTTCTCTATCTGTAAGGTGGGTATAATTCTATCTCCGTAATGAATTAATTGACTCATGAAACATAGTAAGTGCTAGCTATTATTATTAAACCACTTACCAAGGTGCCTAGCACATAAAACCCTCAATAAATAGGTATTATCATCATTCTATACAAATAAAGCAATAAAACAATTTAGGAATTTTAGTAGACTCAGCAATGTGTTATGACCACCAAAGGATGTCATACCACATTAGGCAACATTAATGGAAGCATGGTATCCTAAGACAAGGGAGGTGGTAGTTCAGTTCCACTCAGCACAGTGTTCTATGTTCAGTTTTGGATGCCCTCATTGTGGGATATAAGCTAACTAGAATGAGTTCACCAAGACAGGGAGGGCACTAGGCTATACCATGGGGAAATGACATAAGGACCTGGGAATCTTTAACCCAGGATCGAGAGCTGTCCCATGGAAGAATGATTGGACTTTTTCTGTATGGTACCAAAGAGTAAACCTGTATACATGTGTGTGTGTGTGTGTAGACCTTTGATATAGATATGGACTTCAATCAGAGGTGTCAAAGATGAGAGAAGCTGCTTTTGGTGGTGAGCTCTCCATCCCTGGAAATGATCAAATAAAAGCTGGACAACCATTGCGTAGGAATGTTGTTAACAGGAATTTTGGCGAATGATTACACTAGTTTCCCCTCATACTTGTTTTTGGATACATTCTGAGAACACCAACAACAACAAAAAAAAATGGAGAAACTGGGAAGGAAAACAAGCAGAGCAGTTACCACAGATTAATCTGTTGGCTTTGGATTGATTGCAGGGAGATGTGGCTGAAACTGAGAACACAGGTGAAATGACAGGTGAAGAAGGTGAAACTCCTGGTGAAGGTGAAATTGGAGAGAAAGGAGGAGGTGAAACTCAACTAGGTGACAGTGAAATTAAAACAGAAGGGAACGGAGATAAACATGAAGGTGAAATAGAAACAGAAGGAAAAGGAGTCAATGAAAGTGAAGGTGAAACTGAAGCAAAAGGAAAAGAAGATGAACTTGAAGGGGAAACTGAAGCAGACGGAGGAGGAGATGAATGTGAAGTTGAAATCAAAGCAGAAGAAGAAGGAAAAGGAGACAATGAAAGTGAAGGTGAAATTGAAGCAGAAACAGAAGGAAAAGGAGACAATGAAAGTGAAGGCGAAATTGAAGCAGAAGAAGAAAGAAAAGGAGACAATGAAAGTGAAGGTGACATTGAAGCAGAAACAGAAGGAAAAGGAGACAATGAAAGTGAAGGTGACATTGAAGCAGAAGAAGAAGGAAAAGGAGACAATGAAAGTGAAGGTGACATTGAAGCAGAAGAAGAAGGAAAAGGAGACAATGAAAGTGAAGGTGACATTGAGGCTGAAGCAGAAGGAAAAGGAGACAATGAAAGTGAAGGTGACATTGAAGCAGAAGAAGAAGGAAAAGGAGACAATGAAAGTGAAGATGACATTGAAGCAGAAGAAGAAAGAAAAGGAGACAATGCAAGTGAAGGTGACATTGAGGCTGAAGCAGAAGGAAAAGGAGACAATGAAAGTGAAGGTGACACTGAAGCAAAAGGAAAAGGAGAAGATGAACATGAAGGTGAAATCCAAGCAGAAGATGGTGAAATGAAAGGGGATGAAGGTGAAACTGAAGGCCAGAAACTCAGTGCTGAAAATCAAGATGAAGCAAAAAATGATGAGAAAGATGGAGGTGGTGAAGGGGGAAGTGATGGGGGTGATAGTGAAGAGGAGGAGGAGGAGGAAGAAGATGAAGAGGAGGAAGAGGAGGAGGAGGAGGAAGAGGAGGAGGAGGGGGAACATGAGGAGCCTCTGTCCCTGGACTGGCCTGACACCAGGCAGAAGCAGGCCATTTACCTCTTCCTCCTGCCCATCGTGTTCCCACTGTGGCTGACAGTGCCCGACGTCCGGAGGCAGGTGAGTGTGCCCAGCTGGACCTCAGGTTGTCTATTCCCGGGGAGGCTGTGGGGTCTCTAGGCACCCAGGCTGACACTCAAGAGAAGGGAGAGGGCAGGGAAAACCAGCTGGGCAGGGCTCCACCACTGAGAAGATCTGGGAAGGGGCTGTACTTTGGAGGGGACCATGTGCCTAGGGGAAATACCACTGGGACTAGGAGGCTAAAGATGTCAAATGTGCCTTAGTTCCACCACTAAAAGCAGCATAAACTAGTCCCTCCTTGACTCCTCAGTTTCTTAATTTGGGAATGATGCCACTATATCTCTTCATATTTCACTGAAATATTGTCAAAACCCAGGGAGATGACTGTTATTTCTACCCAACATTCCTATTTGCAGGGAAAGGTCTGACTAATGTACTCCATCCAAAGGTAGTCTATATTCTGTCTCTGGGTCCAGAAAGGAGAGGGACAGGGGAAGTTTCTAAAACCAAACCAAAGTCCTAGATTGGTCTGGATCTAGGGCAAGCAAACAGTTCTCTTCTATTGGGTGACTGCTGAACACCTACTGGCTGGACTCCCTGTAGGTGTCCCCTTTGCCCCGTCCTTTTCCATCCATCTCAAGGTGCTTACTGGAGAGACGGCCTCAGATATCTCCAAGTGCTCTCCACCACTCTTCCATCAGACCTTATTACTGATTCTGGGGCTCCCTCAGAAGGACAAAAGACTGTTAGAGCCTCTGTAACTTATTTCTCTTCCTTTCTTCAAACTTTCAAACAGGAGTCTAAGAAGTTTTTTGTTATCACCTTCCTGGGATCCATCATATGGATAGCCATGTTCTCATACCTCATGGTGTGGTGGGCTCACCAGGTGAGTGAACAGCAGGAACTAAATCCCTTGCCAGCAGGTCCCAAGGACACTTTTTCCCTTTGGGATGAATCTTCAGTACCCAGAGAATATCGAGGATCAAGTACATTTGTGTAGTTTCTTTTTTTTTTTTTTAAATTTTTTCTTTTTCTTACTTTTTTTCCTCTCTTTTATAAAGAATTTTTATTTTTTCTTTGCATACTATTTCTGGACTGAATGTAGTTTCTGTATTGTTTATAAAGGCTTAAAAGTAGACCTTTAATTCCAGTGAGTATAGTGCTTTTCAAGTGTGACTTTTCTGTCTCATACTGTGGCATGACATAGAAGGCCCTTGACATCCTGATTCCAGCTGACCATGTCTTCTTAGCCTTATTCTCTGCTTCCTCCACCACGCACACCACCCCTCTCACCTGGAGAAATTGTACACACTCTGAGAGCCAGCTCAGCTTTGCCTGCTCTCTGGCATTTAATCAGTCTTTTCTGTTCTGCCTAGAATATTGCACTTAGAACAGAGCTATAATGTTTACAAGCTTTCCTCTCTCACTAGGCTGAGAACAGGATCTGTGTTGTATGCTGCCTTTACCTTAGTTCCTGGCACACAGCAAGTATTCACATTTCTGGAAATGGAAATATTGACACGAACAGATCTTTGGAAGGGCAGTTTTTGTTGGGAGGGGTAGAGGTGTTATAGTTGGAATGACTGTGAGAGGTATAGCTAGTTATCTAGACTAGCTTTGGGTCCAATTAAGAAAAGAAAAGCAACTTGGTCCCTGCAGCCAGGAGCAGGGGCCTTGCTCTTTCTCTTTGTGGCCACCTCCTCAGCTGTCAGTTCCACCATCACCTTCCCTCACTCAGGCTGAGGAAGTGTGTTGAGCTCCTTGGAAGGTGTTCTATTTGCAGGAAGTAGTATGTTGGTGCTTTGAAGAGCCTCAGGTATTTTTACTTGCTGTTGCCCTGGTTTCTCATTACTGTTGCTGTTTACCAGGTTGGTGAAACAATAGGGATTTCTGAAGAGATTATGGGTTTGACAATCCTAGCAGCAGGCACATCAATTCCTGACCTCATCACCAGTGTGATTGTCGCTCGGAAAGGCCTGGGAGACATGGCTGTGTCAAGCTCTGTGGGCAGTAACATATTTGATATCACTGTGGGGTGAGTAAGCAATGTTACTTTCCAAGGCATATTAAGTATGACTGGAAAACACTGCATTGGCTCTGCTTGCTGGCTTCTTGCTTTATTCATTACACATGGGATAAAAGGGCATTTATATTGTTAGTTTCCATAAGGCAACAAAGTATCCTCCCTTCATTCCTCACAGCCAGAGGGATAAAAGAACTAAAATGCTGCCTGCAATGTGACTGGAACTTAGATAGATTGAAAACTGAAGTTCATTACATTCTATTACCAAATACACTCAAATGCTTTGCTCATTGAGTTTCAAGGCGGTAGAGGTAGGGGTGGAAGGAACAATGACTCAATTTCATTTCTTGATACTCCCAATCCTTGGTATGTGGAGTGGAGCCTGCTAGCTCAGAGGCTCTAAAACATTTTGCATAAACAAGCAAATGCCTCATCCTCCTGTACCCCATCCTCCCAAACTTGTCAGAGCAGAGCACTGGGCTATTTTCATTTCCCTAATCATATCTTGGATTTGGGTGGTGCATTTATTTCCTTAAATTTGAACTTGAATATATGGCTGGGGAGGGTAGTGAGGGTGGGAGTAAAAAGGCATAGGAAATCCCTGAGTGCTAAAGAATTTAAAGAAATCTTATCCTGTGGTAGGCCTTATCATCAAAATTTAGAGATTTAAGAGTATATACATCAACTGATTTGGGTTAGTCATATAGAAGTCATGAAATATGTAATATGTAGAAAATAAAAAAGCTCAGACTCAGAACATTTCAATTTTAATCTAAGCTCTTCCAGTTATTAGCTTTGAGTTCCTGGGCAAGTAATTTAATTTCCTTGAAGCCTAGTTTCCTCACCTGTGAAATGGCCTACTAATTTCTCCTCTACTCCAGAGGTTTTTATTTTTCTTCATAGAAAAATAAGTGCTTTGTAAACTTTCAAATACTATTTAACTGTATGGATTATAAAAATTAAGAATGTTCATATTGTTTCTTCAATCTTGCAGCTTGCCTGTTCCTTGGTTGCTTTTCTCTCTTATCAATGGATTACAGCCTGTTCCAGTCAGCAGCAATGGCTTGTTTTGTGCTATTGTTTTGCTTTTTCTCATGCTCCTGTTTGTGATCTCTTCAATTGCATCATGTAAATGGAGAATGAACAAGATCCTGGGCTTCACAATGTTCCTCCTTTACTTTATATTCCTGATAATCAGTGTGATGTTAGAAGATCGAATCATATCCTGTCCTGTATCTGTCTGAGTCAGTCACTGTTGCTCATAATGGATACAGAAGACCATGCCAGAAGTTATTGTATCTTTTGTTACATTAATGAAAGAACAAACATGATTCAGAAAGTGGACTGAGTGGCTCAGAACCTCTATTGTGAATGTGATCCAGGACTAAGCTTTATCTTTGGAAACATCTGCAGCTCACTGTGGATGAAGAATTTCACCCCTGTAAGGGTGGGGCTCTGAGCCCTGACTCATGTCAACATCTGTCACATGGAGGCAGCACAACGACCCCTGGAGCCAGAGGGTTTTCTAAATGAGAGACAGACTGATTTCTTATATGGTTTATAAATGGATCTTAAGGTAATTACAAGGGGAAATTCCAAAAATGCTTAACACAATGACTACATGGTGAGAAAAAGAGTATTATTACTTCCAAGATAACTAGAGTAAAGGATACTGGAGTTTTAAAACATTTTGTGGTTCAACATTTCATGTGGAATTTGATGTGCTTGTATATTAAATACTGCTTGCTGCTGTTACTAGAATCCAGTTAGGGATACATTAGAAATGAAAGTTTTATGTCACTGGCTTCAGAGCAAAATGAGCTCAGGTGACTGCAGATAATGATGGTAAATATGGCTTTAATTACAGTCATGCAGAATGCTTAAAGATGAGAAGATAGGGCAGATGTTATGTGAAAAAAAAGCAACATTTTGGCACTGAAGGATGGCTAAGGTGTTCAAATACACCATCTTTTAAGATGAACTGGTTAACTTAATTGATTGCCTCGCTACCCCAGGATTCCCATTCTTTGGAAATAATTTTTATTAAATTTCAGTAAGTTGTGAATCCCAATGGTATGTTTACTTTATAAACGCGGACAGGTTAATCCCTATCTTTAGGCCACTTAGTCAGAATGCTTAAGAGAAGACTGATGAAGAGGATGTGAGGGTGATCCGGCTGTGACATCTGTCACCCCATTGATCACCAGGGTTGATTTGGCTGATCTGGCTGGCTAGGTGTGTGTCCTCCTCCTCCCTCACCACTCCAGGTGTGTCCCTCCCAAAACTGGTCACTTGGTTGAAGGGGATGATCTTCCCTGTTAGAGGAGGACCGTTCTTTGGTCAAGGGTATACGAGTAGCTGCACTCTTCTGCTAGAACCTCCAAACAAGCTCTCAAGACATATGAAGAATATGGAATTATGTTCAAATTCCGTATTCTTAAATTAATCATCCTCATTCTTGATGCTGCTGCACTGCTGGGTTTCCATATGCCATGGCCCAAGAATAGGAAGAAAGAACAATGGCTGTGGGAAGGAGATCCTAATACCAAAATTCTAGGTGCTAACCTGGTATTTGCAGCCAATTCCAGTTAGCTTCAGGGATGTTACCTCCTCACTTAACAGCCCAGGATCTGATGCTCTTCCTCAGACTGAGTGAGGAGTCATGCAAAGTGAAACACTCTGTAATAATAAAGCGCTGAAATATCTGTTTAATGATTAAAACCACTCTAATGATCTGACATCCTTTTCCCAATTTGTTGAATTTCTGACATTCCCTTTTGCCTAGAAAGAAGTTCTGATCACACTATAACAGAAAAGAACAAGTACAAAAAATTAAAATTGAATCTTGATGGATGAGTAGGAATTCATTGGGAGAGAGAAAGAAGAGAGATGATTGTAGGGAGATGGAAAACTTATGTAACTTTTTGAAAGATCAATTTGTTATGCTTGGAAATTAAAACTTTGGTCATACATTTACAAATCTACTGTAACATTAAAATCATACTTTTTTTAGAGGTAAAGTACTATCTTAAAATGTCAAGATAATATTGAGATGGTCCTCTCATTTGGTAGGCAATATGGTCTATATAGTTACCTTGACAAATTCTAGGTAATTTATTCAGCCTAGTAGGTATGAACTGTCCTACATGAGTATCTGAATTAGAAGACAGGGGCTACATAGATGACTTCTCCTTCATCCTCCCCTGGGCTGTGCTTCCTCAGTGGCCCTGGTAATTGGTTTGGGTCAGATTTCTAAAACTGTGAAATTCTTCCTAATTTAACAGGTTAAGATTCTATATAGTACCAGGAAAAAGGGACATATTCCAAATTTTTGAAAATTGGTATGTGTTTAAATATCACATACCAATTTGGTATTTAAATTGGTATGTGGTACCAATGGTTACTATACATTTTGAACATTATATTGTACTGTCATCGACAGATCTGAAAATGGATTTATTGAATTATAGGCTTAGTCTTTTATAATACTGTCTATATATTGCCAGGCACAGTGGCTCACACCTGTAGCCCCAGCACTTTGAGAGGCTGAGGCAGGAGGATTGCTTGAGGCCAGGAGCTTGAGAATACTGTCTATATCAGAATTATCATTTATTTAAAAATTGAGTACCGAAGGGGGCAGGGATTGGAATTTAATATCTAAGACACAGCCTGGCAGATTATTGGGAAGACTGGTTGGTCTTATGTGTCACTGAATACTCTTGGTTCAGACCCTTTTTTTTTTTTTTTTCCTGGTAAAAATTCAACTAGTATAGACCCTTTTTAGTGAGAGGGTCCCCCAGGAGGTGTAGCGTGCAATGTGCTCTAAGACTGATTGCTATGAAAGGTGCAAAGAGAGGGCTCCTGAGAGAACTGCCTATCCTTGGGGAAGGGAGGAGCACTAAAGCCTGGCAGGACACCCTGGCTCAAGTCTGCCTGCACAGCTAAAGACACACTTCAAGCCCTTCACTGTGATGAGCAAGCAAAACCTGGAGAATTTCATTTACAGAAAAGTCTATTAGTTGCTCCAATAGTTTATCACAGTGCTACATTTGAAAAGAAAGTCTTTAAATACAAAAGGAAGGAGCCATCTAAATGAACAGCAGCCATGGAAAGGCAACAGTAACGTCATCAGAAGAATCTATTACCACCTCAGAATACAAGCACATGTGCACAGACTTTTGTAATCAGAGATAAAAATGCATGTATCAATTTGTATACTACTAATTTTGTATTCAAAAATAATTAAGCCAGCGAATGTGCTTACTTTGAGGCCAGAGGAAGAAGGTAGTATGAGGGATGATAAGACACCAAGTACTGAGGATAGTAATATAAATTGTTATGCAGTTACTAGAAAGTTCAGTTCTGAAACAAAGCTTAGCCTTGTATCTAAACAGAGGCAGAGCAAGCTAACTCTAGCACAAAGGACCAGGGCCTTCTCAAAGAGGCAGCCCACTCTTTTCCTTTCTACTCTGAGATAAAGTGCCTAAAAGCAGCTTTCAAACTTTAGTGGGAGAAATAAAATTTGATATAGAATGTGTGACATTCAAAACATAATGGCAGGAAGTAGTAAACAAGCTTATCAGCACAGAGCATAGTTTATTTTCAACAATTTAAACATATAAACAAAATTAAAAGTAAGAAAATAAGAGATAATGTAGCAAAAGGGTATTTCTCTCCAAGATGACTGGCCATGTGTCTTCAAAATGTATGCTCAACAGAAAGAAGTTTGACAGAGTTATTTTAAAGGATGATTCATATTTTAATTTTCTTTTGAGCAGGTTTACCACTTTCTGTTCATGTTTTAGATTTTATTTTTAAACACTGCCTTAAAAAAATATTCCCTGGGGATTAAAAGCAGGAGAAATATAACTCTATCCAAAAGCAAAAATAAAATTTGAGGTTGGAGGAGGAGATAAAAATTACATTTACTTCTCCAAATGAGTCTGAATCATAAAGAATGGCTTTACCTTACTCTTTTTCTGTCAGACATTTGAAATCAATAAACTATGATCCCTACAATTGTGTATAATACAGACAGAGTAAACAATAGTGAAGCTGTTCTCTATATGGGAATAAAAACAAACAACAAAACCAACAACAAATAAAAGAGAAATCCAGAATCCTTGCTGGAGGGATGTTTATCGCCAATGTCAAAAGCCTCCCCTATCAAATATATCTCTCAGTTGACAACTTTCAAATGATTTAAAGAACATAAAGAATAATTAGAATGTGAATCTTGGATGTGAATAGTAAAGAGTAGGATCGGATGGGTATTTACAAAGGAGAGGCAATATATGTGTATAGCACCAGATTTTTCAAGTAAGCAAGTTCATTCCCAAACGAACTGAAGTTTTACATTTTTAAGCTCTCTTCATCATTTCCTGGAGTAGAAAGCTGTGAAATGTTTCAGCTTGGTGCTATTTATTAATGGTGTGAACTCAAAAGGTGGTTTTTCTGTAGCTAAACTGATTCTGAGTCTCAGGACTCCAAGATATCTCTACGTCCAAGTGTTGTGGACTCTACTGGCTTTACATACCTGATTTGGGACCATCCATTCTTTTCTTCTTTAAAGTCAGTTAGGAAATTCCTTCATTAATGACAATGTGTGCAAATGTACACATAAACACTGAAAATCTATAAATAATTCTAATGGTCAAAAGATACTTTTTCTTTATCAGAAATTACCCAAAGAAAGTGAGAATAGAAACAATGCAACTGAAATACATTTTAAAAGTCTATTTAATACCCATGGTGTTTAAACATTCAATTTATTGTCTTATTTAGGGATATTTCTGCATTTTAGATTCTACGAACTTCAGATTCTGAAGCTTGTAGAAAAAGCTAAATTCTGGCTGGGCGTGGTGGTGGCTCACGCCTGTAATCCTAGCACTCTGGGGGGCTGAGGTGGGAGGATCACTTGAGGTTCAGGAGTTCAAGACCAGCCTAAACAAGAGTGAGACCCCCATCTCTACTAAAAATAGAAAAAATTAGATGGGCAACTAAAAATAGACACACAAAAAACTAGCCAGGCGTGGTATCCAGTGCCTGTAGTCCCAGCTACTCAGGAGGCTGAGGCAGGAGGATCGCTTGAGCCCAGGAGTTTGAGGTTGCTGTGAGCTAGGCTGACGCTACGGCACTCTAGCCCAGGCAACAGAGAGAGAGAGACTGTCTCAAAAAAAAAAAAAAAAGAAAGAAAAGAAAAGAAGAAAAGAAAAGAAAAGAATAGAAAAGAAAAGGAAAAAGCTAAGTTCCTGAATATGGGAAATTCTATCTGAATATATGTACTTTTAGAGGGTTATTTTTCTACTTCTGAAAAAATATTTTGAATATTTATATATAGTATTAACAGAATATCCCGGTAAGTCATATTTCAGATACATATTCTATTGTACAATTTGCATTATACCCAATATTTTAGATATTAAAATAAGAGTAAAATTTGGAATAGTCAATTGTCTGCATATTTCTCAATTTAAAGTTTTCATGTAGAATATTAAAATTTAAATTGATACTTGGATTTGTAAGCTATTGCCCATGTGTAGTCTATGCATCTATTGGCAATAGAGAAAATTTCAGAATCATAGTATAGTAAACCTCTCTGGCTCTCTTTCTCAAGGCTCAATGAGTCAGTCTGGGCAGTGCACACTACCCTTGCCATAACTTACTCACTGCAGTCAGGCTTAGCGGTACTAACATGCAATCCTAGGACAACACTGACACTAGCACTGACATTTGAAAATTCATTCTCCCAAGTAATAAAAAAAATATATATAGATAGATATACATATAGAGAAATCTGCAGCTGTACTAATTATTTCAAATAGCAGCAGACGAGGAAAATAAGCGCTTGCTTGCTTCATAAGTTTAAATTCATTTTAAGTTTGCTATATTATATTTAAAAATTAAAAAAATATCAACTTACTATAAACAATTTAAAATATGTATAATACAACTTCATGGTCAAAACATTTGAATAGTCTATGAAAACAGGAGATTCTTTGAACTGACATTTCTGTTTAGGTTCCATTCATGATTTTTCAATCTGTTTCTTCCAAGAGAAACCATGAAATAGTTGTCTTATTTTATG